CTTCCAGCCAGCCAACATCAATTCTTAATCAGCTAGCACCTTCCAGCCAGCCAACATCACCTAATCAGCTAGCACCTTCCAGCCAGCCAACATCACCTAATCAGCTAGCACCTTCCAGCCAGCCAACATCACCTAATCAGCCAGCACCTTCCAAACAGCAAACATCACCTCATCAGCCAGCACCTTTAAACCAGCAAAAATCACTTAATCAGCTAGCACCTTCCAAACCAGCCAGCACCTTCCAAACAGCAAACATCACTTAATCAGCCAGCACCTTCCAAACAACAAACATCACTTAATCAGCCAGCACCTTCCAAACAGCAAACATCACTTAATCAGCAAGCACCTTCCAGGCAGCCAAAACCACCTAATCTGCCAGGGGCTCAGCAACCGGCAAAATACCAGCCCTTTGAACCAAACAAAAAAATACAGAACATTTCAAAGAAGGACATTGCTTCCTGCTTTGACAAAGTAATCAAAGATCACCTTTCAGAAGTACTCAGTGGCACCAAGGAAAGCTGGCGACATGAAATTTTCCATGGAAGAATATTATCAGACAGGGATAAAGAGATGATCGAAAGGGTAGATCTCAAGTTCAATGTGCCATTTGGGGACTTTGAGGAAAATCAAACATATCACATGGTAACTCTAATAGCAAAGCACTTCCCAAAGGTCAGTCAAAAGTACTTAATGGAGGTACTTTTACCAGAGGCTCTAATTACCCTATGTTGTCAGCAATTACAAATTACACGCAACCAGGCTGAGGATCTCCTAGAAAGTGGTGGAAAGCATGAGGCAGATGCATTCCTGCAAAAAATAGAACAAAGAAGTAAAGGAAAGTTCTTGAAAAAGAAAAAAGCCCCGAAAAGAAAAATGCAAGGAGCCGAAGAAGCTGAAGACGAAGTTCAGTTTTTGAAACAGGCTAGGATGGACGAAGCATCTATTGCTAAAATGCAAAGGCCTACATTTAAACTGAATCAAGAAGATGTAGACATAATTGGCAAAAATGCAATGCTTACAGATCTTCAAATACAAATGGCCCAAGAACTGTTGCATCGCCAATTTCCTTATATCGAGGGGCTGCTGTCTCCAACAATTGGGAAGGCAGAACAGTTTCCAGTGATGCGGAACAGCTTCATTCAAGTGCTACACACTGGTGGTAATCACTGGGTTTGTGTCAGTAATATTGGATGCAGCCACAACAACCAAGTGAAACTCTATGACAGTCTTTATAGTGGAATTGCGCCATTCACCAGAGAGCAGATTGGTGCCCTTCTTTTCAACCAAGACAGCAATGTTATTGAAATTTGTGTCCCTCCTGTTGACCAGCAAACAAATGGGACAGACTGTGGAGTTTTTGTGATTGCATTTGCCACAGCACTCTGCCATAATATGGACCCCACATCACTTAAGTTCAACAGGCGGGCAATAAGGGCACATCTCTTAGATTCCCTTAAAAATGGATACATTGGTATATTCCCCTTTGAGGAAAAATCAAGCATTGGTTATGAAGAGACTGTTGCCATGCCAGTGTACTGTGACTGCCGCCTCCCATACAATCCAACCAAAGACCAGATGGCAGAATGCACCAATTGCAAGAAGTGGTTCCATCAAGCTTGCCAAAAAATTCCTGACAAAGTTTTCAAGTATAAAAGGTTTCAATGGAAGTGCAATAACTGCCAAATTGCTTAGATACAGACATCTATTTTTTAAGGCAAATGGTTATTGAAAATATTAGGGACTGTCAATTTTTATGTGGTGGGGTGGTAGATAGTCACTATAATATGTGATGACTTCCCCTTTTCATCAAAATTTTTCCCTGCCCCCACCCCTTGTTACCATAATTGTGTGACACTTAAGAGTAGTTATTTGGGTTAAACCCCTTCCTCTCCAAACTGACCATTTTTATTTGGTTGGCTCCACTTTCAAACCAACTGTTCTGGCATGACCCCTCTGAAGACTATTAAACCCCCTACCTCATAAAACTGAAAAAGTCTCACCACTCAACAAAATGTCAGGCCAAAACACTTCAATGACAACTCAGGCTAAAGTACTAGCACAAGAAAAAGGAAAAGTAAATGATTTTGGCAATGGTAATTCAATGAAGCCATGGTGCTAATTGTCAACTACATAAAATACAAGAGTTTTACAGATGAAATCAATACCATGGAATAAATCATTAAAAAGTATCACAATTTGAAAAAGAAAAAAATCACCATTTGTTAGTCATTGTTAACAAGCCTATCCATAAATGCCTTTTTCCAGAGGGTACTTCCCTTCTTGGAGTTTGTTGATATTTTTTTGCATTGTCTGATAGGTTTCACTTCTGTAACAAACCCAGTTTTAGAGTTTGCCCATTGATTTACAGGTGGCTTGTTCACAAATTCATCAGCATTATTAGGCTTTGAAACAATGTTAAGTTTTTTTGTAGTGTTACTGCTATTTTACAAGAATATGTGACATTTATAAAGTAGAACAAAAGTTTGCTCTGAAATATTTATTGGATAGTACATATACATTTGAGGAACACTGAAACATTGCAAGTAGATATCGCTTACCATGCAGTGGATATCACTTTACTAGTAGATTAATATTATCAGTTAACAATCATTTTCATAATCTATACAACCATGTTGATTTATCAATAAAATTACCTGATCTTTCGCATGTAGTTCAAATTAGTTGGCCTGTTGTTTTTATGAGCACTTATTAGACACAACAAAAACAGTGCAGAAAAATATCCAGGCTGTCCATACTGGCAAATACTGGAAAACCAAGACTTCGGTTACCATGATAAGGACTTGGTTGTCCAGGGCCGTACAGGTCCTGGAAAACGGAAGGAGAATATTACACCTTAACTAAAGTTGCTTCAGCTAGTAAACCTGTTGTCGAAGCTTATTTGTTTGTCCTCGGGAAAACCATAAACGAAGTCAATTTTAAGAGACAAGTGATTTGTACACAACATTGGCCCAAAGGCGTACGAGAAAACCTGGAAGATCCGCCTTCAATTAAATACACCAATGTGCAAGGAAAAGAGACTAAAGAAGGTCGTGAACATTGGAACTGTGCTGCAGCTCTGTGTACAAACTCCTGGCGAACTAAACTCGAGGGATTACAATACTATCGTTTAAGTGACTTCGCTCAATGCAAAGACAAACAACATGCTTATTATAAAGTATTAATGAACAAAGCAGTTGACTTCAAACGCGATTTTATATGTTCAGTACACTGGTCAAAAGGATTTAGAGACAACTTAGATGATCTCCCAGATAGAGCTTGCCACCCGGACTACGTGAATAAACAAACAACAAAGAAAGTGACACCACAAAGTAAAATTGCTGCTGCAAAACGTTCTCTGAGTACGACTAAGCAAACAAACACCAAGAGAAGGAAACTCATACGTTCATCCTGTTCACTTGACTTTAATTCAGATGAATCTAAATTTGACATAATGCAAAAAGAATTACAAGAGCTCAAAGAAAAGCTAGAGAACAAAACCGAAGAGGCAAACAGACTGTCTCAGCAAGTGAAAGACCTCACTGAAAAAAATGACAGTTTAAGCAAGCAGATTGCACAATTTAAAGGGAAGATGAAAGACTTGACATTTTCATATGAATGTCTCAAGTTACGACCCAAAAGATTTTTTTACATGAGTGGATTAACTGTTGATGATTTTAATTGTGTTTTGGAATGCATCGAGCCATATATTTCTGTAATAATTTATCCTGATTGCAAAACTAACCAAGATGGGCAAAGAAAACTCACAAAGAGAACTGAATTGTTGTGTTATTTTACAATATGCCGTCATACATTGCACCTTGGAGTCATGGCTTTCCTCACGAACACAAGTGATTCAACTATATCCCGTATTTTTTCTGCATGGTCAATATTTCTTTCAACTCTTTTTGACTCTATTGACCTCAGTCCATACCCAGGGGAAGTTATTTCATTGTTACCCAAAGAGTTTTGGTCTTCTGGTTTTCAGGACACTGTACTATTAGGGGACTGTACAGAAAACTGGATCTCATCACCTGAAAACTATGATGTGAGTAGTGCAACATTTAGTAATTACAAGAACCATGACACTGGTAAGACAGGCATATGGATGACTCCATATGGTGGCTTGGTGATGTGTACAGATACCTATCCTGGAGGAATAACAGACAATGAATTAACTGAACAATGTGGAGTTTTAGATATGGTAAAAGAGAAGGGTACCACTGTACTCACTGACAAGGGGTTTGGCATCGAAGACTTATGCCACTCAAAAGGACTGCTTCACAATCGGCCACCGATGAAAATGAATCCTCAGTATGATGAAAGTGAGATTAGCAAAAATTTTGATGTTGCTACACTGCGCATTTATAATGAAAACTTTATTGGCCGTATGAGAGACTGGTCAATCTTAAATGCATGCTGGCCAAAGAATAGATGTGACCTTCTGGGTTGCACCTATAAGGTATTTGCTCACATCGTCAATATGCTATTTGACCCTATTGCACCAAAGGAAAAAGTTTCCAGTACAACTACAACCACTTCATCATTTTTTATATAAAAACTTTTAATAGAGACTACTGAAAATTTGAATTAAACAAGATTTTGATTGATATCAGATGACACAAATTCAGAGATCAAATTGTGGTCAGTATAAAAAAATAATAAATAAAGCAAAAACGTTTTAAAAGGGCTGCAATATTTATACCTGTGAAACAGTTATAAATATATTTAGTGCTAAATAGTACTAAATGTTTGAATGTCTTTTGTTTCCTATTGTCTTATTAGTGCCATTTACTACTATTTAGTGCTAATTAAATAGAATTGTTTCACAGATATAGTGTTTGCTTTCTTACACTAATAAATGAATGAGAAATGTTAGTTTTACAGTATATCTTTATTTCATACACACTTTCTGTTGTGAAATATAAATGTTGTACCTTGTTTTAAACACAACAAGAACTTTCTGTAGCCTGAACAGTATATTATTTAGTTGTGCTAAAAGTTAATCATTTCTGTAGTACAGTTAGTAATTGTAGCTTAAAAAGAAATGCATAGTGTTGACTTTGCTACAGAATTAACCCAGGATCTGAAGTGGCGGGTATTTTCAAAACTTGGCACTGAGCCCACCAGCTGATTACCCAATTTTTTAAGATGTGGATGCTCAAAATGTGCCCAGGGATCTTGGAAAGATTTGTTTTCATATATATGTATTAATATTTCCATCATGATCTCACATAAAATGTGATTTTTTTGAACAGGGAAATAGGTAGCAACTTTTGTCTCAGGGACATATGACATTAAATAGGTCAGGTCTGTTTGTGTGCACTCCATCTGAAGGTGACACTGGCACAAGTGAGCTCCTGTGATCTGCAATATATAATAATATAAAAATTGAATCCTGTGATATTTTCTCACTGTTTTCAACTTAGTATGCAAATTGCCTATTTCAGATCACGTCATTCCCTTGTGATTTGTTCTTTTGTTAAAATATTTACAAATAAAAGAATCAACTCCCAGAAGTGGCACTACATGGTCTGAAGTGGGCCTAACAAATAAAGAAGGTAAAGACGTCTATTGAGCTACAATGTATGTTAATGGTTCAAAAATATTTGTGGGTGTGGATAAGGGTGGAAGGAGGAAGACCTACTGTGATAGCAATGCTTGTATTGAGTACTGTCACTCAATAAAGTATTGACTTTCAGCAGTTATGGTTAACTTGGGAGATTAATTATTGATATGTTGGTGAAATATTCAATAATGTAATAATCCATCGTCTTACATGTGGCAATGGTTTCAATGCAATCTCCATTTTCTTGTTTTTTTCCTCTTCGTTTAGTTTTTCTAGCTGGGTGTTATTAGGAAGGGATCGGGTTTTTATTTCAACCAAAAACTGCTGCCGCCCAGTGCTCACTCCATCAGGACTGGCTCCAAATCTGCTATCAGAAGGATGTTTGAAGTACCCACACTGAGAGACACCCATTTTACTGTCATTTTGAAATTGTTGTATTGCATTTTGTTCCTGTTGCTTGCCTCTAATAAAATTTGGTAATTTACTCCTTTTTGGATTTAAAACATGTTCATCAATTCTGTTCTTTATTGCAAACCATCCATTGTCAAACTCTTTCACACCCTTAAATCCTAGGAGAGATGGAACCTTGCTTGCAGTGATAGTCCCAACTCTTAGTGCTCTCCATTCATTAGAACACTGCTCAACTTCCAAATAATTCTGCTTTTTCAATAAAGGAATGATAATCTTTTCATTCTTGAATGACTGGTCAGATGGGCTGCTGCTGCATGAATCATCCTTTGACTCAGTTGATATTTGTGGCCTCCAAATTGACTCAGTACCTGCCTGGAATCTTGGTTTTAATACTTCTTTGTCATGATCTAGTCCTTTCTCCCTTCTTTCATACTCTGTTTTATATCTTAAATGTAAAAACAAGCCAGATTTCTTCTTGTATCTGGACAACACTGAATAAACATGGTTTTCAACTGATTTCTTTTTTGCAATATTCTCCATGATTTTCCTTTCTATTTCAATCACATCACATTTATACCAATCACTGAAATCACTTCTTTCCTTATTTTGCCCTACAATTTTTTTCTTCTTTCTTTTTTTTTTATATCCCTTCTTGCTCCTCTGAGATTTCTCAAATACTTCAGCTTGATCTGTGATGCTGACTTTATTGTTCTATTACATGCAGGTCCTTTCAGGTGCCATTTTTGTAATTTTTCTGTGCAAGTCATATGAAGAAACAGCTTCTTATGTTCTCTAAAATAATTCAACTGCATCAGCAAGGCGATTGCATGACAGCACAATCCACTTTTCCCCACTGCACAAGGACAATATGCTTGGGTAGGTGTATTACCAACAAACATTATGGTTACAGGACGGGAAATACTTCCTGTGTAGGATTTGAGGATGTTTGCTTTTACAAATGAGCGTTTAGAATTGCTTTCCATCATTTTCACAGACGTTATTCGCCTCGAAGAAAACATAAGGTGCGCCTTTCGGTACTGACCTTTTTTACCTGCGTATTTGGCTTTTTGGTAGTCTCGAATAGTATTTTCGTTAACCACAGGGACGTTAGGATCTTCATTTCTTCCTATTATTTTCCAATTTGCCGATGGAGAAGGAACTTCCGAGGCTTCAAGTGAGGTGGAGAATTTATAAGTTTGACTAATGCGAAGTACTTTCTTCTGGAATAGTTCAACAGATTTCCCTAGAGGAGCCAACCTTTCAACAAGTTCTTGCTTTTCCCCGGTGACCTTTAGCCTCAATTCCTTACAATATTGCTTCAGACTTTCTTTGCCGAGTGATGGCAAGTTTTCTGGTGATATATCACATTTGATTGCCTCAAAAGTAGACAATTTTGATTCACATTTTAGATGAGTTTTTGGATTGCTTGCAGCCATTTTGAATCTGGAATATAGTGCAATTACAAAGTCCGCAAAAATCCGGTAGTGCCAGTCTCCCGCGCGCCATGAAATCAGGCAATTAGAGAGGAGCAAATGCTGTGACAGCGTTTTCTGTAGACACAGAAACAGCAATATTAAATATCCTAAGTAAAATTGCTACAATAAGTGTGTATTGATGATAATCAAGGTAAAAAATTTCCCACACCCCCATAATTCATTATGCATACAGTTCTTGGATAAAGAAAATGATGAGAAGAAGCATTATGACATTATCATACTAAAATATAGAAATGGTCACACCCCATTTGAGTGGGACCCTTATGCTGTTCATAGATTTCTAGAGGTTATATCAGGCATATGTATTAAATCAGGTTATATACATATGCATTATTGACCAAGCATGAGGTCAAGATGGCTGGATCTTAGCCGAGTTCTATTTTTTGCATTTTTATGGAAATTTTACATTGAGTAGCCTTTACTACCCTATATAGCTCTGGACAATGGCAAGAGATTATAATCTTGTGACAACGGTTATCACTTTCACCCAGTCAATGATAAAGTCTGAAATTAATTTTTCTGACCAGGTGCTATTTAACTCTTTACACCCTAACATCATTATGCACATTCTCCATACTGTTCTCTATACATTTCCTAAGGTGCTGGAAAAGGAGAATTTGTCAAACAAACAAGAGCTTCTTTGGTTGGTAATCATTTCCTTTATTCTCATGACCCTAATATGTGATTCAGGGGTGATACTGTAAGGAGAAACGAGATGCTAATCACCCTTCAAAGAGTTAACAAATAGATTGCATGTTGCTGATCATCTGTTCAGTAATAGTTCACAGATGACATCAAAGTGTGGTGAGGAAAAAAGAGTGGCACATATGGTGTAACTGAGTGTGTGAGTACAAACCAATGAAAATACATAACACTGCCATTATTCCTTATTGTATAAATTTCAATGGACATATTAATTAATGTACACCATCTTAATCCAAATGTCTTTATTTGTGATCATGGGAGATTGTTTACTAGTGGTGATAAATTCTATGATTAGGTTCCTGCAGTCTTAGCCCTTTAACTCCCAAGATCTGATTGTTAGTTGATTCTAGCTGCCACACATTTCCTTCAAATTTAGTTTTGAAAATTTGATGTTTGATCAATATACCTTTAAAACTCATATGTTTGAGTGTTCTCATTACCAGTTTCTTGAATGTGTATTGAATGGTATTATTTAAGGGTGAAGTTACATGTTAATCCCTTCTGGGAGTTAAAGAGTTAACCCTTTAACTCCAAAGATCTCATTGGTAACTCTCCTTACTGTCTGTCATACAGTTCTTGTGGTGTTAGTTTGGAGAATTTGGTATTAGATTACTCTTTATCTCGTCACTTTTCTGCTTGATATTGTATTGATGTTGTAAGGAGAAATTATGTCTTTGCCACTCATGGGAGTTAAGAAATTTCTTTCTGTTTTCCAAGGACCATTAGCAGTCTGAGTCATCATAGCAACAGTTAAGAGCTTTATTGTTGGATTTGATGTAAAAAAAAGAGGAGTTACAACAACTTAGCTAGTGGTATGGCTCAGTGCTTTTTTTATTTTTATTTTCAACTAAAAAACAGCAACTTTGTAAGAAGAAAACTAGACTTTGGTTGTAAGAAACAAACCAATACATACATGATAGCCGGGTACATTCTGTAGGAAGGTAATATGTGATTTAGTGATATGACTACCTGCCCAGTTTTCTTGTGGACTCACTCTTAAAACTTTTTCACTGTTTTACCAAAAGTGACTTGGTTGGGGTCTATAATTGGCCACAAAATAGACTATGGTGGAGGGAGGGGGGGTGAGTCTAAGAGGCCCATTGACCTAAAACTCTCCCCCCCCTGGGATTGCAACATTTATCATGAAGTTGCCAGTTAGAACTAATTTGACAAAGGCGTAAATTACCAAAACTGGTGACTTCACGATGAAGCTAGATAACTCCTCTCGCATGTGTTAATTTGATCAATCAATCGATAAACTTAAGTTAATCATGGGTAGTTTATCAGCCATTTACAAAAGGATCAAAAACTATTCACCATAACTATTTATTAAAATATATTACTGCTTTCCCTGAATGCTGTGCCTTAGAGAACTTTGCTGATTTCTTACATATTTTTCCTAACAGAAGGAAATCTTTTGTTATTGTTTTTTTTTTGTGTTTTTTTTTGTTTTTCTATGAACCACATTTAACTTTGTATTACGTAATGACTACCCATTCGGTTGGCCCTCCTGGTTGTGCGGTGGGGACCAAATGAGAGGCCCTGGAGACGAGGTTGGCTTAAAGGAAACGACTTGCGCTTGTGTTCTGAGCAATTCGTGGGGTAAGTTTTAAATTATTTATCTATTTAGTTCGCAAGTGAATCAACCCAAAACCTTAATTTCTCAGTCGAAAGGAAAAGAAATCGACAAACTCCGACAGTCACTGTTGGCAGACTCCGCAACGAAAACTGATTTTGTCTCTGTGTTCAATTTCAAGTCTACTTACAATTTTACAATCTGTACTCCAAGGTTTGTGGTATATTCAGATGTCGATAAACAAATATTTTGGCGATATTTTTGTGATTTGAAAGAGCCGGTCAAGCATCGATCGCTACTTGCTTTAGCTAATATCTCATGGGACCCTCTGGCGTGATGACGAGGCAAAGAATAATTATTCCATTTGTTCTAGGGGGTTCAAATACACACATTAATGACTACCACAGCCCTGCATTATATAATAATGGGTTATAATTAAATTCAAATGAGCAATGAAGGGGTGATTAAAACAATTCTCAAAATGCATTTAGAAATAGGTAATGGAGAATCAAAGATCAGGAATAAGGGATCTAGCTGTTATTAATTTAGGGCTTGGAATTAGAGTCTGAAATTCGAAATTTTGATTTCGAAAATTTGCCAGAGGGAAATTAAATATCTTGAATATCTAGAGTGGGGGTAGGAATTGAAAATGAACTGATGGAGAGTGGAATCTGAGTCATATGAGGGTTGTCAGTAGTCCATTTTACAGTTACTTTCTTGGTTGCTAAGCTTTTGAACAGGAGTGAGGCTAAGGGTGACCTTGTTATCATACAAACATTGCTGCTTTTTAAAGTTAAATTACCTTGTTATTGTGTTAACCCTTTACACCCTAACATCAGTAATCATATTCTCCATACTGTTCTCTGTACATTTACCAAAATGCTGACAAGGAGAATTTGTTGAACAATCAACAGTTTCCATAGTCTCATGACATTAATGTGTGATTCAATGGTGATATTGTAAGGAGAAATTAGATGGTAGTCGCTCTTAAGGGTTAAAGGGTTAATTAGATTCTGGTCTCTATCACAACAAAGTCCCCTTCAGCCTCACTCGAAATCAAAGGCTTGGCAACTATGTACCAACTGTAACATGGCCGAGTGGAAAAGGAAATTTGTTGGAAATTATTTGGCAATCAAGCGTCAATATCACTCACAGGCAACCTCCAAAGCATTTGAACTTTTGAAGATAGGTTTTTTGAAATTAACCCCTCCCCTTCCCACCTCAGTGCCCTGAGAGATGTTCAAATGCCCCACCTAATTACCTGAATTAATTATCAATTTTTGTGTAAAAGGCAAGATCAATGATCATGACCATCTTGTTGAGGTTTCTTCTGAGCCATTCGCTATCAAAAGTGAACTTCTTATCTTTAAATGCCTTTTTATAAAAGATTAAAGACATATTCCACTGAAAAGACATGATGGTTCCAGTTCAAATTCTCCACCCCTCAGGGATGGTTGACAGTCAAATGCCCAAGGGGAGAGATGTTGATGCTTAAATTTGATAGGTGCATTACCTAGTGATCTTTAATCTGCAATGCTTTGCTGAGATGAACCTTCAAATGAATTGTATTTAATAACTTATATATGCCATACATGCCATATGAGCGTAATGATAAATGTGCAGAGTAAAATGTACCTTGTGTAATTTTTACAGGTTAGGGAAATATGAAATACTGTAGCACTCGAGGAAAGGTGCAGGCTGAATCATTTGAGGATGTGCTATTCAGTGGCTTCACTAGTGATGGGGGATTATACATGCCTGAGAGAATTCCAGTTGTGGATGAATGTACACTGCAAAAATGGAAGAGTCTCTCATATATGGAGCTTGTGAGTGAAGTGACTTCTTTGTTTATCCCTCCAGAAGAAATACCACTAGAGGAATTAAAAGGTTTGTCAGTTAACCTTTTACATCCTGACATCAGTAAGCATATTCTCTTGTGCTGTTCTTCTCCTATTCAACTCGATATCTCACTTGTGTGCCACCAAGTTGAACACTCAGAGAGAAATTCCATATCCATGTGCACCCATGTGTTATTCTTTTATCTATTTTTCTGATGTTTTAAAACAGCACGGTTTGAGTGTATTTTTACACGACTATGACAGAATTAAGTCAATTGATGAAATAATTTTTTTAAATTTATGCAACCTGGGAATTCCTTTTTTTGGACAGATCTCATTACCAACGCATATGCTGAATTTCAACACAAGGATATTGTGTCCCTGGCAGCAGTGAACAACTTCCATGTGTTAGAATTGTTTCATGGCAAGACATTGGCATTTAAAGATTTTTCTCTGGCATGTGTTGGGGCTTTCATGGATTACTTTCTGAACAAGAGAAAGAAACATGTTATTACTGTAGTGTCAACTTCTGGTGACACAGGGAGTGCTGCCATTGAAAGTGTAAGGAAATCAAAGTGGGTTGATATCATAGTAATGTATCCTGAAGGACGCTGCAGCCAGATTCAGGAACTTCAGATGACAACAATTCTTGATGAGAATGTACATGTCATCCGAGGGGAAGGTTCATCAGATGACTTAGATGTACCAATGAAAAAGTGTTTTTCAGACGATGCATTTGCAAAATCAAATAATCTTTGTGTGGTAAACTCGATCAACTGGTGTCGCATAATGGTACAAACAGTGCATCTTCTATATGCTTACTTGAGGGTTTGTCGCAATGTTGGAGACATAGTGAAGTTTGTAATACCATCAGGAGGACTTGGACATTGCACAGGTAAATGATCTTATCTGTTAAGTCAATCTCTTAAAATGCCAAACTATTCTTAAGCTCAATTCTGAAATATTGATTTTAGGATCAGTGTGTCACGACTACTCAACCTGAAATACAACAACTGACCCATAAGTCCTATATTGATATTACATAATTATATAATATATCGATTATCTCTGAATTTATGATTATTTAAGTATGTAAATTTCCTTACAGCTGCCATGTGTCTGTATAAAATGGGTGTTCCTCTGCAAGTGGTGTGTGCAGTCAATGAGAACGACATTGTGCACAGGACCCTATCATTGGGTGACTTCAGTCCCAGTGGAGATGTGAGGCATACATGGTCATGTTCAATGGATATTGAGGTATGAAAGATAAGTCTGACTGTAGCAAGCTGGGACAATGCAGGAGTAACAATTAACACTCAGTATTCCTCTATGTAAAGATGACCTGCCATTTTGGATTTTTTACACAAAGGAAGGTTCGGGGAAAGAAAAAATCTATCCTGAAGGGATGAATGACAGGCTATAGAGGGGATTACATACCCCACCACCTTCCCTCTCTAACTCTAACTCAAACATGATGGCTTAGTGAGTGGTAACAAGATTTTTGTGCTAAGTTGCTCTCCCTAATAAAGCTGTCAGCCAAAACTAGCTTCTATTAAAGCTTCCTTTTAAACAGCTAAGAGCCTTGGCCCCAGTCTCTCGTGACTTGTTTGGGTTTTCTCCATAGTGGTCCTGCCCCATGATAAGAATGTTTTTTTTTTTCAGTTTTTTTTGTTCTTTTGTTTTTTTTTGTTGTTTTCGTTTTGTTTTTTTGCAGTATGGCATGCAAAGCTAGACCATCCCTTTGAGATTAATGCTGAAAGATATATCTTTGTTATACAGTATATATCTTTGTGTTCTTGGTTTGGGTCTTAGAACTTAGGTTAACCTAAAGTCACAAACAGACTTTGTCCAAGGTGGAAGAAGATGTAGGGAAGTTAGGGATTAGCATGTTTTTGGAACAACAAGAATTAGAAAAACTGCTCTCTATAGTTAAATAAAATTGCATAGCAGTTAAATAATTAAAAAATGATTCAATATCTTTCCACTGATGGTTCAAATTGTGTAACATTCTCCTTTAATTATTAGATTCCTTATAACATGGAACGTCTACTGTTGCTCTTTTCTGACATGAATTATGGTCGTGTTGATTCACTGATGAGAGACTTTGAACAGAATAAGTCACTGATTATACCTGAAGATTTAAAAGGAGAGGTAACCTGTTCATTTGGATAATAATGTAAACACAACTTTGCATTTGATTATGATTTACCTAAACTTTCAAATATGAGTGTGATCAGCATCATACCTAACATAAGAAATTTGCAGTTTGTACCTTAATGTGAGTAGCAAGAAAACTTATTCATAATGTGTGGATATTATCGGGAGAAGTTACATTTTAATGACTTCCAAGTGTTGAAGGGTTATTAAAAATAATCCCAGAAAACATGTCGAGGCTGAATGCCAGTAGCTATTCACAATTCTAACTTTTTCTATATTACAGATGTGTAAGGTCCTCTCTTCTGCCTCTATGTCATGTGACCAAACACTTAAAACAATGAAGGAATGCTGGGATGAGAACAAGTACCTTCTTTGCCCACATACAGCTGTTGGTGTCAAAGTGGTCTGGGACCAAAGGTAATTGTAAACTGATAATCATTATAAATACTATGTTAAGTAATACACCGTTTATTATCCGCTGAGAGGATAAAGACCACTGTCGGTATGAGGTCAGTGGAGTTGTATCTCTTTGTGAACAGGTAGAAAGTACATATATGTTTAGCTGCAGTATCAGTCCTTTAACGGTGAGTACGTTGTTTGGTCTCGTCGCTCGTGGGTAGAGAGTGCGCTGCGTGTTGAGACCAAACAACGGCTGCGAAAGAGATTACTAAGTATACACGCGTGTGATTTAGAGTAAACCACATTGTCGGAGTCGTAGGCAGAAGCGGGAAAAACCAACCAATTGCTATGTGAGTTCTCAGGCCTTCCGAGAGTCAAAAACTCACTAGATCAACGGTATTAGTATTCTGCTTCCGATTCCGCTGGTTTGATTTTTAACAGTTGCTATCGCTCTGTGCTCTGATTCCTACTCTGTCGCTTATTTAAACCACCCATAATACCACTGCACCAAACGTCGTTCAGTTTTGGTATGTTAGCTACTACAGGTGTAATTTGTTCTCATTGATGTAATCCGATCCCCCTTCCTATTCATGTTAGTGATTCCCCTTTTCCATCTGCAGACATGCCAGTGATCTTAAGACACCCATCATATGCGTAGCCACAGCAAGTCCCGCCAAATTCCCGGAGGCCGTCAGGGCTGCTGGTATTGAAATGCCGCCGTACCCGCAGTTGGCCGAGCTATTCACCAGTCCCACAAGGTACACGGAAATGAAGAAAGGAGAGGACTGGTATCAAATATTGAGAGACATGATAAAAGATATTTCCCGCAATAAACATCACAACGAAAACAATGGCACAGAAAATGGGAGTGAAGACAGGTAGAAAAAAACCGACTGAGTTTGGAATTTTTGATCATTATTTCTGACAGTGACTTTATCGTAGGCGAATATTAATTAAAGTTAATTTATTATTTTAAGTAATGGGATTGTATTTTGTAAATCAGTGTGCTTTTATCACTAACCATGGTTTTCAGTGAAGAAGACAATTCCAATGGGTGCAATAAAAATCTAAAATCACTGCTAGAATTGATGTTCCCTGACTGTATGGTGAGGTGTACAATGGATATTAAAAGACGAAGCGGTCGTAATTATTAATACGTTAAACGTTTCCATAAAGGTTTACTTTCTAGCTGGTCAATGCCAAGAGATTATCAAGGTCGAAATCAGATACGGCAGCTTGAAGACATTCTAGAGTTCACAAAAGTCAGTTTCACAAAGATAACTCCCTAGATCTGATTGTTAATTCTCCCCTCTGGCTGCTACAGATTTCCTTGGGAATAAGTTACGAGAATTTGGTGTTAAATCAAGATAACAACTTCTACCTGATACATTTGGGTATTCTCATCACCTGTTTTCTGGATAGTGCATGAATATAGTAGGGAGAAGTTACTTGTTAATCACTTCTGGGGGTTAAAGGGTTAAGATAATTTGGTTTTAGCAACTGAGTTGATGGTGTAAATTGGCCATCGTAAAGAGTTTCTAAAACTGACGTTTGAAGCCTTATCCCTTTGTCCGAGCGAAGGGCGCGCCCTTCCGAACAATATCACCCCTAAATCAAGCACGAAGTACATGAGAATTGACAAAATGATCGCGAACTCAAGAAGCTCTTGATTGTCAGACAAATTCTCCTTCTAAGTACCATCTTGAAATGTGTAGAGAACAGTGTGGAGAATTTGCATACTGATGTTAGGGTGTAAGAATTAAAGTGAGTTAAACTTTTGACTTTGTCCTGGTACTATCTCCTGGTAAGCCTCTCCTTTCAAATTCTGAACCAAAGAGCTGTAAAATTGTAGATGATATGCTTTCACTTGCTACACCCAACATGCCTTCTGTTGCAGTCGGTGAAATAAAAAAATAACGAAGACAAATTTTATACTCGGTAGAACGTGCAGCGTACTCCCAGCTGTATGTATCTACATACATGTTTGAACTAAAGAGTAGAGAAAAAAAATTTTAAAGAGGGACAGATAGTGCTCTGTACCGAGATGTGCAAAAAAGTGACAAACCTTAACATGACTTGTGTCGCGTTTGTATATTTTACAGACGTTCCCTTCCGTCTCGTTTTGAAAAGTGATCTCTCTAATAGTTGATTTCCACGTGGTTTTCTAGTAGTTACTCTCCCCTCGTTTTCTCCCTATTGGAAGTGAGATTAAGTTACTGCCCTAATGAGCCCCCCTCTACCAAGCCCCTCTCTTAATTTACCCTCCCACCGTCTATCAATTACAGGTTATAAAAGCTCCCCCCCCCTTTTAGGAGGAAAGCATCGGAAAACATTTAGGTTCAGTTATGAATTAATACAAATATAAAGGTATCCCTCTCATATGTCATATCTCTTTCACCAAAGAAAAGCAAATTGTGCATAATATCCGTGAAACTTGGGCGACAATTTCAAACGAAAATTATGGTGGGAACTTTTACCCTGAGTAATTTTTTGATACACCCTTCCCCTCTTCTCAATAGACCTTCCCTTATGGAAACCCTGGGAATCAAAAACGCCCTCGGAGGTTTATCAAAGCGTATATAAACGTTCTTTCGCGTGACCAATTCATTGAGTGAGAATTTCAGTGGGCGAGCCGACTTATCAGATTTTGTTTGAAGTCGTTGGAGATTGTTTACGATACATTTTAAGATATGAGATTTATTCAAACTGGAATTCGAATCGATAGCGGAGTTCTTTATTGCTGAAAGGCTTTCACCAATATGGGTTTCCGCTATGCGTGACTTCTACGATTACGTCACGATAAGTTTGCACGCAATACGAAATGACACGATTTTGCACTATAAACACTTTCCTACCAAATCTGTTATACTAGCAAGATATTTTTCTAATGAAATATCTCTGCTGTCAAATGCCAAAAGGGAAAACTCTGATTTTCACCTTGAAGTGCCTGTTCTTGATACTGTCAAACTGAGAGAAAACCCATTTAACTGTCATCGGGGTCCACTTCCGGTTATTATCGAACACCGTGGTTGATAGATTAGACGAAAGAACAATAAATCAAAAATCAAACGCTTACTAGCAAAGGGAATACTTTCCTGTTCAGTTCAGGATCCAGTTATAAAGTAAAGTAAAGAAAACCGTCATTTTTATAGGTCTCCAATCAGTGTCGTAGAAAAACTGCTTTATTTGTCAGCATAATTTTTTTTCTGCCATTCCTAATGTATTGGCAACGTTCACGCGTAAAGCCGCAAGTGTTGAGATGTCTCTTGCACACCATGGAACAACCTTCATTGAAAAAAATTGAATTGTTTAATTGTTTAAAGATATAAAAAATTGACGAAGGGGGGCAGAAACATCGGTTAACTTTGATGTTCTTTTATTTTATTTCATATCAATAGTCTTAATTTTTGTGAACAAATAGGTGGGGTTATGATGGAGTAAACAAAAGTGTAAGGTTCGTGATAAAAGAAGGGAGTTTATTGTCGGCTGCCTTTTGTGTTGGTTTGTGTCTATCTGTTCTGTTGCCGCCCTCAACAAAAATGTGCACATAGGCACGAAAGCTCTGTTGCGAGTTCTTTTAAAACTATCGGATGAACAACATAATCTTATTAAGATGACGACAATCATGACCTTTTACCACCATTTAGGAGAATTTATTATGATACCACTTGTTATTAAATGTTTCCTGCTTGTAGTCGTTGCATTTGACTTGAAACACTGATTGTTTTGTTTTTGCAGCACAATATGACGTTAGCATAGGAAGTAAATAAAGCTTCTGATATTTGATTGTGATCCAAAAACTCCAACCGTACGTACTTGTGTGGGGGCATATTAGCTGAGTGCACTATCAAATGTGCGATGAATCAGATATCAGATAAATTTTGGCGAAACATACCTTTAAAATTTCTCCTCTATATTTCTAACGTTTTCGAGATCGTCAAAACTTTTGCAAGATTTCACTGAAAACGTCCAAAATATTCGACAATTCTATATTTCGTAGAACTCCGTGTTATTCAGAGATATCGGCTCATTGAACCTCATTCAACATTCGCTTTGCATGTGTTCCAGTGAAATTAGTAAGGCGATTGAGGAATAAAATCTACAAGATCTTCACGAGCAAAGGTTACTCGTTTAACATTTCTTTTAGAGGGGGAGGGCGAGTCGGTAGTAATGATTTAATCCTTTCCGACTTTTCCTGTTAGTTTTATTTCGTCGTGGAACTATTATAAAAACCAAAAACGGGACATTCTCGTCCCTCTACATAAGTGGTTTTAAAGAATCGATGGGAAGGTCTCTTTTTTCTACGCAGGATTTAACAGTTTTACAATAAAAAGCTTAGGTTCCCACTCGGGGGAAATGAGATGACAGCTTCACTTGAAAAGTTGCTCAGCGGTCGCTGTGGTGTTGCAGGCTCTATGGCTATCTGTTAATTTTCATCAAATGTTAATTCGTTCAAACATTGGTTTTGTGTATCGATCATATTTCTCTTAGAAGTGATGCAGTTCGGTTGAACATTTCCTATAAATTAAACAAATGCTCTCCAAATCATGTCTCTCTAACGTCGTTACATTGGTAATTGGAATACATTGCAATTCCGGTTTCGGTGCTTTCAACTCAAAACCTTCAAGGTGTATAACTTTTATTCCAATCTTATTCGCCAACATACCAACGTACATGCCATCCTGTCTGAAGAATGATGACGAATGGAAAAAGCCTCAACAAACAAAACTACCACATCGTAAGACAAAATGTTTCCAACATGAAACCCATGCAAAAATCTGGATAAAACACCCGTGGAAATTCAGTCTTCCCAACTTACTTCCCTTTTTACCACTCCTGAAACCCCAAGGGTTTTTGTTAAAATTACCCTCGCATAAAATTTCTTTTGGAGAGATAAGTTTACATAGAGAGGAGAGAACAGCTTCAATGCTAACGAAGACATCATCGGCGTCTGTCTTTAAAAGAAAAGAGAACCTCCTCCTTATCGCCTATTCGAAGCCCATCAGTATCTTTCTGGTCTGACTCTAGGAATGGTCGAGTAGTCAGCTCGCACAAGGTCTCCATAAACTTCATCTTCCCGCAATAGGGAGTAAGACAGAGATTGATTTCGTACTTCAGCGACAAAGAAGGCCATTGTCCATCTTAGCCGGTTTGAGAGCTCTTCGGAAAGCCCAAGTCCAATGAATATCCGTGTTCATTCTTTGCAACTTAGGTGGAGCGGATGATACAAAAATAAGAAGTTTGTAAGTGCTGCGCACAAGCTTTATCAGTTATAAGAGATGTTCTTTAGTGTGCGAATTGCAAAGTTGAACGATCTCTTTTGAAGAGAGGTCCCGTTGATGTAATTACCTATGATGCGGAAGAAGTTGCCGTCTCGAGCGACTCAATAGAGAAGAGCTTTATCAAGAAAAAGTCAAATTGTTACCACGAAGCGAATGTAGGGATTCTTGACGCTCTTCTCATCATTAATGATTGGAAGGAAGCTGACTTCAAAGTGAATTGACTCTCCGTGAAATTTTCCGATTATTAGCCGATCAGTTTAGATTGTCCTGCAATCCTAGAGCTTCCGATATTTTTCTGTGATATCGGCTCATTGACAACTTTAAAGAACAGGATATGTTAGGTGATATTACAAGGGTGGGGTGGGGGAGGTAAAAGAGGTAGAACGGGGGATGGGTACATAGACTGGTACTGTAAGGTCAGTTAGAGAGTGGGGGTTTGACAGCTTCGTTCTTCTTTCAGTATTATCTGATCACGCAACTAAAATAGAACCAAATCTGTGATTCTTGCACATTAATAAAGCCGTTTAGTTATTGAATCAGTCATTGTTAAAAATGAATTTGAAAATTATTGAAATCGTCCCTTTTTCAGCAAAAATTGCAGTTAACATTACGTTTTTGGCAATTCAAACAGTAATAATTATACTCACTTTGCCTTTTTAAGGAGCGCAAGATTGAGGCTGCATATTTTTCGACTGGTTTGGCGGAATTATTTAGGACTGAAGCAGTTAGAAATTATTGCCGAGGTACAGGTTGGAGCTGAAGCACCTCAGGCCACATAATACTGACCAAGAAAGACGATGCATGCAAAATCACGCTTGAAATCATCCGTCTGTGACCCGTATTAAGTGGAAATCCAACAGAAAATTCGCGAAAACATAATTAACACATAAAAGATTTCAGCAAGGAAATTTCACATCTCTGAAGGTTCTTTTAGAGTCCCTCGACGTGCAACTTTTCAACGCGCAAAGTTGTACGATGACCGTCTTAGTAATACAAAATCTACTTAGCTGTCTCGGCTATCATATTTACAGGCGTCGGCATTTATGATCTGAGCCACTCAGCCTGAGACAAAGACATTTTCGGGTGCCTCTAGAAAGGTCATACAAATCAAAGAAGTATATTTTATACCCTAAAGCTTCTCATTATCTTAAACCGCGGCTGAAATAGATCAACGTAATCTAATTAGCTTTATTTTTATTTCAGTTCGTTTTAGCTCGTTTTGTTTATTTCCCTTGATCGACCATAAAGTCGCAGTTGAGAGATGGGAAAGTGCGGAGGGAGGGTAGTGGGGAGGGGGGAGGGGGAGGGGGGGGTGGAGAGCTAACAGTGGGCACAGATGATTTAATTTATGTTTTCGACGATGATCTGTCATTATTACCTTTTCTTAATGACCCAATTACGTCATTTTAGATCCGAAGTTATGGCACTTAAACTCAAAATGCAATCTGTAACATTCACAAATGAC